ATGGGTTGTAATAATCCAGCAGGAGCAGAAGTTGGTCGTTTCCGGCGTTGACACAGTGCACAAGAAGCGACATAATTAGCCACAAAGGTAGAAAGACCAGGCCAGAAGAAACGGCTCCTAAAGCGGTTGTAGGTCTTCTGAAATCCCAAGTGTCCAGCTGATGGATCGTTGTGGAGTGCTTCGAGAACTTGTTTTCGCAGTGAACGGGGAAGTACTGGCACCCACCGATGCCCATCGGCATTGTAAGTATAGCGCTGCAGGACATTGTTGTCTAGCTTGAACTGGCGTAGCTGACGACGTAGTCTGGCATTAGGTGGAGAAGGCGAGTCATTCAAGTACCCGATGATGCGGTTACAGTATGGGTTCTCACGTTGGCACGCGGCAAACTGAGCACTGCTGTTTAAAGATAGGGGCCCAGCAACTGCCAGTGGTGATAACGTGAGTGCAGAGGGAGCCGCTTGATCACCTGAGGGGCATCGAGGATGCATGGTTGGAGATCAAAGTGACAGAGGGCAGCGAGAGAGAGCGTCAACATCCTGATGCCGTTTGCCAGACCTGTACACAACCTTAAAATTGTACTCTTGCAAACGGAGTATCCAGCGACCGAGTCGCCCAGACAAATTCTTCAGCGAGGACAACCAGCATAGGGCATGGTGGTCGGTAATGACAGTGAAGTGGCGTCCATACAGATATGGTCGAAACTTCTGGATGGCCCAAACGACAGCAAGACATTCCTGCTCTGTTATCGAGTAGTTCTGCTCCGCAGGTGTTAGTGCGCGACTGGCATACGCAACTACTCGCTCACGTGAAGTTTCGTCGCGCTGGAGGAGGACGGCACCGATTCCGTGGCCACTGGCATCTGTGTGAAGGAAAGTGGGTGCGCTCTCATAAAAGTGACGGAGGATGGGGTCTGATGTCAAAGCACGTTTAAGGGCTTGGAAAGCACACTCGCACTCGTCAGTCCAAGTGAAGGCCGTTCCTGACGTCAGAAGCTTGTGTAACGGCCCCGCTATGGCAGCAAAGTGACTGATAAAGCGACGGAAGTGAGACGCCAGGCCCACGTAACTTCGTAATTGTTTTTGATTGCCCGGACATGGAAAATTAATTACAGAAGCAACCTTGTCGGGGTTGGGTCGAACGCCATCTTTGCTGACAAGGTAACCCAATACTTTGATGCTCCTGCTGATGAAGTGGCACTTTTTTGTATTGAGCTGAAGCCCAGCGTTCGACATGCACGTAAGAACTTCGTCCAAACACTTAAGGTGCTGAGGAAAAGTAGAAGAATAAATTACGATGTCGTCCAAATAGCATAAGCAGGTTTTCCACTTGAGACCACGTAAGACAGTATCTATCATGCGCTCGAATGTTGCTGGAGCGTTGCATAAGCCAAAAGGCATGACGTTGAACTCGCAAAGCCCGTCAGGCGTTGTAAACGCTGTTTTATCCTTGTCTGCTTCGCGCATAGGTATTTGCCAATACCCGGATCGAAGGTCAAGGCTGGAGAAATATTCTGCGCCTTGTAGGGAGTCCAGGGCATTATCTATGCGTGGCAACGGATATACATCTTTTTTTGTTATCTTATTGAGCGCTCTGTAATCAACAAAAAAGCGAACGGAGCCATCCTTTTTCCGGACCAACACCACAGGAGACGACCAAGAGCTGGATGAAGGTCGAATAATATCCCGTTTGAGCATGTCGGTGATGTTTTCCTGAATCATTTGCCGTTCCGCCGAAGACAGACGGTATGGGCGGCGGCGCACAATGGAGCTGCCTTCGGTTTCGATGCTGTGCTCTGCAACAGAGGTGTGGCCCAAAACTTTGGAATGATGTACGTCGAACGAAATGCTGTGCTCTTGGAGAAGGTCTAAGAGGTCTCTCTTTTCCTCAGCAGTGAGGTGAGGACTTATGGTAGCATTTAAAGCAGCAGTGGTTGCCTTGGTAACGGTTGTAGCAGACAAAGGCGGTGATTCTGCGTGAAGAGGAACCAGCGAAAAAGGCTCGCTGGCAGCGAAGCAGCTCACAGCAGTGCCCTGGGGCAGCATCACTGGCGAAGAAGTTGGGTTCAAGGCGGTGACCAATGCCTTACCGTCGTTAAACTGCACAAGGCTGGGTGCAATGGTAAGCCCCGCAGGTTTGGAACGAACTGATGGAGCAATGAACACATCACCGTTAACAATAGTATCCGAAGCGATCGTGAGAATTCGTTCATCTCCTGGCGAAACGAAACAATCCGCGGCAGCAACGAAACGGAAGCTGTATGGATCGACATCAGATGAACTCTCAGTAGCTGACATATGAATTACTCGCTGACGACACGATATGAAAGCTGATGCCGAAGAAAGGAAGTCCCATCCTAAAATGACTTTGTGAGTGCACAAAGTACAAGAAACTGAATGTGGTGAAGGATGCCATCTATGAAAACGCGGACTGTACAAACACTTGAAGGCTGAATAGGGACTCCATCTGCGCAACGAAGGGGAGGGCCATCGTATGGCGTCCTAACTTTTTTCAAGCGGGCACAAAGGTCTGCATGAATTACGGAAAGTGATGCGCCTGTGTCTACTAGTGCCTCTGTCTGTATACCTTCAACATACACCAATAAAACATTTGATGGGCGGTCTGGAGGAGTTTGACGGAGTTTGAAAGATGCAGCTTTCCCTCCCGAATCTGCACTGTTTAGTTTTCCATTTGGTGGTCGGGAATCGAAGTAGAAGGTCGAAGCGGAGAGGAGGAACGCCGCATCGGTGAAGGTGAGCGACGACGTGAAAAACGGGAACTGCCAACTGAGGCAAAGTTCTGTGGAGACGGCGACCGGCGTGTGCTGTTCTGATACAGTCGGCGATAGGGTGGTCCAGTTGGGTAGAAGTCGTCCCGTTCATAGTCACCGTAGCTTCGTCTTTCGTCTTGACGGGGTCGGCAAAACCTTGAAATATGACCACGGATGCCGCAATAAAAGCAAGTTGGTCGTGTAGTGCGCCAGGTGTTGTAAGGCTGGGAAGATGGTCGCGGTGCGAGCGAGCTGAGCGAATCATGCACATCGGACGCTGGTAGCTGCATTGGGCTGTGCTGGGGTGCAGGTGTCCTAGCAGCAACCTGAGCATAAGTTGGCATGGCCACAGGATATGAACTCGGAACAGGTGTGACAGTCATCGAGGCCAGGCTTTGGTGGGGCGCAGGTGTCGTTGCAGCAACGTGAGCATAACTTGGCATGGGCACAGGATGTGAGCTCGGAACTGGTGTGCCTGTGATCAAGGCCAGTTCCTCCCTCACGACGTCGCGTAAACTAGTAGCAGGTGGTGTCGTTTGAGTATCAAGGTGGCGAGGTGAAGCCTATGCATGAAGTTTCTCGTGGATGATAGAGCGGATCAATGCACGCAGCTCTGTTGTGTCATGACTCGAGCTGAGATCAGGCATATCAGGTTGCACCCGAGTGGTTGAAGCTCCTCTAGGCGCTGACAGGTAGCTACAACATCGGCTACGGTCTGGGGATTCTGCACCACAAGCGCATTAAAAGCGACAGTCGCAATGCCTTTTAGCAGGTGGCGCACACGGTCGTTTTCCGCCATATGGTTGTCGATGCAGCGGCAAAGGGCGAGAACATCTTCAATGTAAGAAGTGTAAGACTCGCCGGGGCGTTGAACCCGTGCACCAAGCCGTTTCTTGGCGATATGCGAGCGCACTGACGAGTTCGGGAAAATCTGGCGGAGCTGGCGCGTAAAGGCGGGCCATGTCAAAAAATTTGTAGCGTGGTTTAAAAACCACGTTTTTGCGACGCCGCTCAAGTAGAATGCAACGTGGGTGAGTTTCGCAGGCTCATTCCAGTTGTTGATGGCACTCACGCGGTCATACTCCTCGAGCCAGTCTTCCACGTCCTTAACCGGAAGCCCTGCGAACAGCGGAGGATTCTTTTGAGGGCTGGTGACCAGGTGAGAAGGGTTTCTTGGCGGTGGGAGCGGTGGTGCAGCTGCTGCGCTGAGCTGGTCGGCTTGCGACATTACCGAACCCAGGTCGTTTAAGCGGCGGCCTGAACGGAGCTCCAGGGATGTGTTGTAGAAGACGCTGGGGTTGTCCGAGAGCGCGAGAGGACACAGGAATCGGGCAGCACTCTCCACCACTTGTAAGATGGCGTTCTGAACCCTCAAGACTCTTCTTTATTGTCTCGAGTATATGCCCCACAACCTAAACTGGAGTGGTGATGATGAGTATGTACAGATGAAAAGATGGAACGAGTAATGATGCTCACAATATATATATATTTCAATGTTCTGTTGCAATTTTGCTTAGTTTATAATTTTGATTATTGCTTATGTTGCCTCTAACAGTGTTTTACCTCAATTTACCCTTAACAGGAGGTCCCGATACAGTCTTTGACTTTGGGACCTCCTTTTGTATACTAAACACATGTCACATTCTCGTATTCGTACCAATAAAAAATCTGAAATCTGAAAATCTTTTTTTTTACTATACAAAGAGTTAACTGTTCTAAGTATTATATCGAACAGTTCAAACAAATATATGTATATGCAAATTGGATACGACTTCTTACACTTTTTGTGTGTGTGTGTGTGTGTCTTTGCAGAGGTGTAGGTTTTCCATTTGTTTTGGGGTAGGCTGAAGCCAGATTAAGGATGAATTCCAGTGGAATAGTGAGAGCATTTGACAGAATCCACGAGCATGCACTTGATGCTGACGTAGGGCAGCACCTACAAATCTATGATAATAACACAAGCAGCACATCTAGCATAATGCGGAAGTGGGAGTTCTATCTTTCATGTGCCAAGCTACCCAGAATACCTTGCATGTAGTCATTACCTTCCGCTATCATATTCTGACCAATTTCCACTGCTTAGTTGTGAGTAACTCTCTTTCTTTTGCCTATTTTTCTCGATGGTTTGCATAATCTAATTTTCATATAGATCTTAAATGGCTGATATCAGATCCTAGAATTTGTTGCTAATGTATTTTGCAACCTATAAACAACAATTTTCTTGTTTCTGCAGCCAACTTACGCAGCCATATGAAAAACAAGCATTCAAAAAAGCCATCAAAGCCAAGAAAAGGAGTTGTCAAAAGATGTCAAGCAGTATCATGCCATCGTACCTACCAGTGTAGTGAATGCCCTGAAGCCTTTGTGCGAGAAGACTCTTTGCGCTCACATTGTCGACTCCACCTTAAGGGCATCTTGCCACCTGCTGCATTGCCACAAGCATCTGAAGAGGCAGCACAAGTCACCAGTGAATCTCTTGACACTGTTGCTGTAAGTGTTTGTGGGGTAACAAGGTAGCTACTCCAAAACATTGGCATACTTTATAAAATGACAGCTCACTACTAATACTAGAGGCAGGCTTTTCTCAAATTTGTTGACTGCCACAGGGGTACAGCGATTGTGGTGGCCAGCTGCGGATTCATATATCATGGGTGTCACCTTGGCCATAGCAGCCGTATTTTCCATGGAGACAAAAATGGTAAAGGTCCATGTACTTAGGTTTAGGTGCATGTTAAAGAACCCCAGGGGGTCGAAATTTCTAGAGCCCTTCATTACTATGTTCCTCATAATCATATGGTGGTTTTGGTTGTAAAAGACCAGATATTATTATTATCATTAATTTTTGATAATTAGTCTCATAATGTTTTGGCACCCAGCTATTATGAGACAGCTATGAAGTATGTGTGTCCGGCTGCGCTTTGTTCTAATTTACTGGTTTCTTCAGCAATGCCTCTTAGATATGACCGCCCAGTATTTGAGGTAAAATGATTACGATTGCTGTGTAAGATTCACCGCAGTATTGTGGGCATTCCTCAGCAATCTGCGGAAGCCAGAGGCACTCTTTTTACTGTTTGAGTTGGCAAACAACGAGCAGCTCCTTACATATATGTGTACAAAAATAAAATTAAAGCTATGCACGAGTATTTGATATTACATTGGCAACTGTAGTTTTATTTATTTAATCATTGTTTTTGCAACTTTGTTAGAACTTAATAAAGGAGCATGCAACACTTTCCTATGTTATCACACAATGGCTTTACTACTGGACGCTGTTGCCTCATGAATCTCCTGTGAGAAATGTTTTTCCAGTCTATTAAATATAAGTGGAGCTGCTGCACAAGCCAAGTGCTTTCTCTTTTCTTCACCACAGATGATTTGATTGATTTGTGGGGTTTAACGTCCCAAAACCACCATATGTTTATGAAAGACGTCGTAGTGGAGGGCTCCGGAAATTTCAACCACCTGGGGTTCTTTAACGTGCACCCAAATCTGAGCACACGGGCCTACATTTTCGCCTCCATCGAAAATGCAGCCGCCGCAGCCGGGATTTTAACCCACGACCTGCGGGTCAGCAGTCGAGTACCTTAGCCCCTAGACCACCGCAGCGGGGCTTCTTCATCACAGAGCATGTCGGAAACTACACAGGGAGAAAGGGCAAAGGAATAATCTGTTGCCTTAAGTTATGTTGCTTTGTATCATGGCACCCTTGAGCATTTTCTCTTCTTTTCTGTTTGGGCATATTGGCAGCTACTGCTGCTTAAGAGGAGTGCTCTGGGTGGCTAGTTGGTAAAACAAGGAAAACATAAAACTACGCCTAGACTGAAGACAGAAGAAAAAGGAAGTTCATCGACTGCACAAAAAATAGAAATGCACGTGAAATAATTGAAGCCTTGCATATTATACTATACAGGCCTGATAAGTGTGTAAGTGAAGCTTCTTTACAATTGTACACGAAAAAAGTTGAATTTTTTTATTGTTAAGTTGTTATTTATGATGTGCGGTTATGTTTGATGGTTGTGCAAGGCTTTGCTGTTGTGTGGTAGGGGCATCATCCCAATAAGTCAGTTAGTTCTTGTGCCTTGCTTCTAGGCATAGTTTCGTGTTTTCCATGTTGTACATCTGTTTCTGACGTACACTGCAGCAGCATGTGGCAGTACTCCATTGCAGCAGCAGTACCTACACCACGAGTATGTTGCGTCCGAGATTGTTCACTGGCACACCATTTATGAAGTCAGACTTTTCTTGTTTTGTTCACTTGTTGCTCAGTTAGGGATGACATCGGGCAGGAGAAACCAAGGAATTTCTGGCTGTCCTTGATAGGAAAATTCAAAGTTTTTGCTATATGCAGGGCAATATAATACTTGGCTCACATGTTCATAGCAGCCTTCACTTCACTACAGATTAGCAATATTTCAAGAAATGTGGCAAGACTCTTTCAAAAAGAGCATTTGCGTGTCAAAATCTTTTAGAGAGAAAGCACATAAAATGTTCTTTTTCTAACTGCATTTTCTGCAAGTTCTGTGGTACATATAAGCTTTTGTGACCAAACAAAAATGGTTTATCATAAAATGGTACCGTATTTACTCGCGTAATCCTCGCACTTGCACAATTCTTGCACCCCCCGCATCGCCCAACAAAAATACGATTTCTTTTTTTCCCTCGAGTAATTATTGCACCCCCGAAAACTGCTGCAATAATGTCGTCTGCTCTTTCCAGCCACTGATGATGATGGCGCACGTCATCTGGCACCATCTCTTAAGCATCAAGCGTACTATTGCACAGAGATTGATTGATTGATATGTGGGGTTTAACGTCCCAAAACCATCATATGATTATGAGAGACGCCGTAGTGGAAGGCTCCGGAAATTTTGACCACCTGGGGTTCTTTAACCTGCACCCAAATCTGAGCACACGGGCCTACAACATTTCCGCCTCCATCGGAACTGCAGCCGCCGCAGCCGGGATTCGAACCCGCGACGTGCGGGTCAGCAGCCGAGTACCTTAGCCACTAGACCACAGCGGCGGGGCAACTATTGCACAGAGATTCAATCCAATTCAAGCCAAGCCGAAGTGGCCAGTGCGCGTTGCGGCGTGTTTTGTATGTTTTGTCGGTAACCTTGTCAAGTTATGAGACGATACTGAAGCTGTACGGCTGCTTTCAAGTTGCAAGTGATAGATAATGCACTAAAGAACGGAAACAGGGCCGCTGGAAGGCCCTTGGGATTGATGGTAAACTTTATTTCTTAGAAAGGAAATTCTGTTAAATAGCCATCAGCCCAATACTGACGTCCCACGCTTACCTTTTAAGGGCTCCTGTTGAGCGACGAACGCTACCGCTATGCCCACAAGGTCTGCAAGCTTTGCGTATAGCATTCTAATTCTCGACTATTTGCTTCCACTTTTTATGTCTCAATTAAATCTTGTCTTAAATTTTGTGTCTCAATTAAATCTGTTGCACCTCTGCTTTTATTGTTGAGATAAGTTTTAATTAGTACTTCTTGAAGATTTGCTGCCACTTCGTTTTCTTTTTCGCTCTGTACGTTTTCATAGAAAGTTTTCCCCGCGTAATTCTCGCACCCCCCCAACTTTTCATCGGTTTTCCGGCAAAAAAAGTGCGAGGATTATGCGAGTAAATACGGTAATTGTAAAACATGTATCAAATCAATGTAGCCATATTTTATGAGGATGAAAGATGAAGCTCACATGGAGAGGGTGTCACAGATTGAAGTCACTTTGCTTTTTTGACTTAGTTACTGGGATAGGAACAATTTGAAGCAGCGCAAAAAAAAGTCACAACAAAGAAGTAATACATACAACATGACTAGCACTGAATGCAAATGCAGTCTTGCTGTGTGTGTTTTTTCCTTGTTGTCGTTTTTTTTTTTTTTTTTGCACTGTTTCAAGTTATTCGCATCACAAGCAGACTCACCCAAACTTTCAAGTTGTTGATAATACCGTAGACTCACAATAAACAGAAATCTGTTGAACGGAGCTGCTGCTTAAATGAAACAACTGCCTCCAGCATGATTGCTTTCATACTTAGATTCTTCACCCTTGTTCATCTCTCAGTAAACCGAACTCCTGTTAAATGGAACATATTTTTTTGGTTCCTTCAGGTTCTGTTTAATGAGTCTACTGTATTCGGATAGCTTCCATAGAGTACCTGGCTAGAGGCACCGGAAATTTCAACCACTTGGGGTTCTTTAATGTGCACCGAAGTCAAAGTAGACGGGTCTCAAACATTTTCTCCTTCTCAAAAATGCAGCCACCGCAGCCGCGATTTGATCCCCTGATCTTCGGGTTATGTGTTGAGCGCCATAACCACCGGGCCATCGTGGCAGGGCACATGGCTAATTTTGCAACTACATAGATGCCTTACAGCTGCATGTCCTCTTCTGTGCTCTAACTCTTTTCAAGACTGCAGTTTTCATGTGGTAGAGCATCCACTGATCGTGGGGGATGACTCAGCATAAATCAAAGCACTTATGTTAAAATATTTAATATTTTAACCATTTAATGGAATCACGACATTGCTGACCATATCAGTGCATAGTGGCATCAGGTGAATTTATCAGAAGCGAAATGACAACTTACTCATTATAATTTGTAAAAAAATATATGCACAAACCTCCTCGTTGGGGAAAAAATTTTACTGATATGCGATTTCAATTTCGCTTTTTGTGTAAGAAATGTGGTCATAAAAAAATCACAGCATCAAGATAATACGGTAGGGGCAATGGCAGCCTTTTCAATAAATGCACACAGAAGCATTGTATCAACGCAAAAGCCTCTCTTCTCACTTGTGTACCCTCATGAGCAATCTGATCTTCTGCATACTTTTCTCTCATGATTGTTATTCGAATAGTGAAAGTCTCACACCTTGGCACGTTGTTACCTCATGCTTTTCATTGGGGTGCAGCTCCACTATGTATGTTACAATGATAGTGGTGCAATTGCTACAGTGGATAGAGCAGGCAGGCAAAGAATGCAAACTGCTGCTATGTAGAAGCTTCAAGCTTTTGCCATTGGTAGCAGGGTGTTATGTTTGTGGGCAAGAGCAATGGAGACCTGCAAACCTGCTATCTTCTGATTGAGGGCATGCAATTTTTTTTACTTTGAATATTGTATGATGAATAACTTTGGACTGTGTGCCCCTACAACTGCTGTTTTGCTGCATCTTTTTATCCACCTATTAGTCTATGCTATCCACAAATAAAAAACAGGGGCTTGGAAAGTGTTAGAGAGTTCTTTTAAGCAAAAAGTGCCACCTTTTACCTTCAATGCTGTGAACATCGATTCAGTTCAAGAATCCGACTGGGTGAGTATTCCGCATAAACTGTAACTGGAATTTCTCGTTGGAAAGTTGTCATTTGGTTCTGTCAACTACTGTTTCCTTTCATTACATGTCAGCACAAAGTGAGATAGAGTTCTAATGACTTTCTTGGAATTATTTTTTTTTCCTGATAGGAGGGCTCAACCATTCTACAGCCATCTAGAGAGAATTGCAATGAACAAGAAATAGATCCTGCTTGCCTTGTTCCTGCTTTAAGCACTGCTACATTTACAGTATGCACAGCGTCTGAGCAAGTGCAGCCATTATGTCAGCCGCAAGTGGATTCCATGGGAACAAGCCAAATACTTGAGTGCCTTGTTCAGGACCCTGTGACAGTGGAGTTTCTTCCTGACAAGCAGCTGGTGTTCTTAGCTTCGGGGCAAGATTCTACCTCCGCATCAACCACCAACCTGCCTCTTCTAGTGTCAGCATTGCAGCCAGCTTTTTGGGCATCACCGCCAGTGGCCCCCCTCGAGAACTCTACTTAGTAAACACTCTTACAATTGAAACTGTACATACCATCGAAGCACAATGTGAAGTGATAAAACTTTTTAGCTGGACATTTTTTTAAAGTTTTGATACTTTTATTTGGAGGTTCCCATGTGATGTCACTTTGCTGGTGGTCTTTGTTTTTCAAATGTGAGATACGTAGCACAAAAAAAGAAGGATATGCAAAGAGAACAGAAAATGAAGTGGCTCACAGACATACTGCTGCTTTGAACGGCACTATTTTTTACTTTCCATGCTGGCTTAGCAACTTCTATTGCATTGCGCTACTAAGCATGAAGTTACAGTATCAAATCTCAACCGTTGCATCTCTACTTCAGTGGGGTTACTTGCAAGAACACCTGTTTACTGTCTAGTGGGTGCACATTAAAAAAATGCTGGAATTCCAAATTAATTACAAGCCCCACACTATGGTTTGCACTACAATCAAATCATGGTTTTACTCATAAAGCTTTATAACTGAATTTACATATTTTGGTTGAATAACAACTTTCTTTGTTTTTATTGTCACACCTAACTGTATTAGCCATTCTTTAAGAGACATCCAATACTTGATTAAACCACAAGTTTGAATTATAAAACTAAAGGAGAGACCAAGGATCTTTGCGATTGTAAAAAATTATATATAGTTGCTGAACACTTTTGCACCCTTCAATACTGTAGTGTAGCCAGAATGTTTCAGGTGGAGGAGGTCAATGTCGTTTAACGCAGGTTTGTGCGTGTATTTTTATATGTGCAGATATATATTCATATGGAAAACTCAAAAATTTTGAGAAAAGTTTAAAACCCCTCCTAACTCACCCCCCCCCCCCCCCACATGCCAGTGCTACATTGCCAGAAGCGTTTGTATCCTGTCTTTTTGATTACGCTGATTTAGGGCTGGATTAAGGGTGAGCTTTCACACATAACTTTATAGACTGAGCATATTATAGCATTAAGGGAGCCATTCATAAGCAAATCTTTATTAACAATGCCCACTAAGAAACTGTAATTTTTTTTTTTTGCACATATGATGACATTTTTGTCATAGCAGCCATTCCAGTTTGCTAGGCCTGTTTAGAGTTTCTCTCTTGACACCTTTTACAAGATTGTGATACCAGTTGAGCATTGTGGCCAGTGTAGACAGGTATTACATTTATAGAATAGTTACTGCTGATGAAATCACTCCTGAAAAAGGAAATTCGCTGTTTCTTCATGCTAAGTTTTCTTTTTACATTTGCATGAGATTATTCATGAAGCTTTAATGCATCCTCCAATATATGTTTTGTTAGGGCAGATTTTTTTCTTGTGATTTATTTCGCTAAGTGGAGACTAATGAGTACCCTAGCATTTTTGTTATGACGAGAGACATGCCCTGGAAGTTGTGTGTATATGTACATTATATGTGTTCAGATTTATATAGCTAATTTGTACTACTAAAGACAAAAGTTCTGTGAGATGCTTTGGTGAGAACTAAAGCATTTTCTTTTTAGCTTTCTTTTGAGCCTCTGATTTTGGGGGCGAGGGGGGAGGGAAGATAGTTGCAGCTATTGTGAAAAGCTGTTGCAAAGTTATGATTAAGGTAGTACATAAAGGGATGTGACTTATTGTATTAGCATTATTGGTTGTCAGCTCACAAGTTGATGAAAGTTAAGTGGCTTAGACAAACGTATGTTACATGAGGATTCTGTTACCTTGTTGTTTTAGCTACATCTTGGATTACCTCTTTTTTGCGTTGCATTCATATAAAGGCGTGGGAAAATCACTGCTGTGGGGATGAAGGCTTTCCTAGTTGAAATAGTGTCTGCCTGGAACTGCAGAAATAATACCTGTTCAAGTATACTTCCTCAGTATATTATTCTGCTGCATCGCTGCTACTTTAGCATCCTTAAGATACTGTGCAAACAAAGCATGAATAGCTGCCATCATTTTAAAACATTTAAAACCATTTCATTTCAAATTTCTATACAGCAGCACCTAAATTAAAAAATTTATTAGAACATTTAAAACCATTTCATTTCAATTTTCTATACAGCAGCACCTAAATTTAAAAATTTGTTGTGTTCAGCATTGTGGTATGGGTTTACTGTTACTATAAATTTTAAAGTTTCATGAAGTACATTTGCATTTAGTATTGTATAAATCTTTATTTACAATGTAACAAACCAAAGATAACTGTTTTGCCTGGAACAGTTGTGGTTATGGCTGGCTATTAAAAATTACTAAATAAAGAGGTAGTTGTAGTGTAAAAGCAGCCTTTCTACTTTCACTAATAGGAATTTTAAGACTTGAGCCATGTTCAGACTATGTGCGCTATGTGCAGATCCTTGGTAAGGATTGCAAGCAACTAATAAGCTTGTTCAGAGGTCATTGTGTTTAGCATAAAGTACGTAACATTAGGGATGCAAATGTTGGCGAACCTGCGACTTTTACGACAAATACTGATGTGACCATTACGTATAACCAATGAGCAAAGCTGTTTCGGTTGTCACTTTCCATTCAAGGGGCTTGCAGCCTCCCCAGGTTTGCGTCTTCATGCGTGTCTTAAAAGTCATGCAGTAGCGTGCGTGGGCAGTTGGTTTGCAGACTGGAAGACAGAGACAATTTGCGTTAGTGAGAGTCCACATTGCATGACCTCTTTAGCCGAACCAATCAAGCCATGGCCAAACATGCAAACCTTACTTGGCTGCAACAATTGTAGTGGCGATGCAACGCACATTGAAAGTGGTGGTTGGTGCGTCATAAAAAACGTATTGAAAATATCAATGTGAGCCTACGTGGTCACTAGCTCAGCAAGCGAATGATACAGCTGTTATGCAATACGACACTTATGACAGATGCTGCTGCAGTCTGAACGCGGCCATTGTAAGCTTTTTTTTTATTTTTATTTATAGAAATACTTGCAGCACCACGAGGGCATTATTGCAGGGGGGTAACATTATTAATCACGTAAAAGCACATATGTTTACACAAAGACCGTTTTGCGTCTTCATGCGTGTCTTAAAAGTCATGCAGTAGCGTGCGTGGGCAGTTGGTTTGCGGAGGTTATACCTGTGCTGTATGACATGAGTACCATGCTCGTGCTGCTTTTGTACCATGCAATGATTCCACCAGGGATATATTTAGGTAGCTTCCTGAAATGGTTTACGCTGATTTTGAACATGCTGGTACATATTTTGATTATGCCTCAGAAGGCTATGTTTATGTGCATAATTTTAATTTTTGTGCATCTTTGAAATGTCATCCTTTTGCACAAATGCTTCTTAAAAGGCATGAAAGGGGGGAAAACTCAGCCATTGTGTCATGTTTGTCGCCCCTCACTTCTGTATTTTATTTGTTTGTTTGTTTCTTTCTTTTTAGTCTAGCTGTGGAAGTTGTGGCTACTGATGTTTTGTGTATAAAGGTGCTAAACTAGTTTTGTGTGGCAGAACTCACGTTTTGATTCTTTTATTTGTTGGTTTGTGAAGTCACTTGCCACGGTTGCTAGATTGATCTTTCAGAAATGGTTAGAAGCAACAAAATGAAGGTTTACCAGGAATATTGCTATTTCAGTTAGGTAGTATGCTCAATGTTAAAAATCCCATGACATACTCATGTCAGCGAATTTGAGATCTTTCATCTTTAATTATCTCGAAAGAGTAGTGTACTCAGATACCCAGTTTTACTTTTTGCTGATATGGTAGTACTACGTCACTGTTCACTGATGTTTTGTTTGCTCCTGCAAAGGAACAAAGGCATTACCCGTTGCAATAAATGCAGTCTCACTGCTGTTTCTGTTTTCTTCACAAATGTTCTTTGGGTAGTGAATTCACTCTAGTCTTAATGGAGAATAAGCACTCAGTAGCCATTACTTGCTGATGCAGAGATCTTAAATGAAAATTCAACTGCCACTGTGCACTATTGGCTAAGGCACTCGGCTGCTGACCGGTAGGTCGCGAGACCAAATCCTGGCTGCAGCAGCCACAATTTTGATGGGGGCCGAAATGCTTAAAGCCCGTATGCTTAGATTTAAGTGCTTGTTCAAGAACCCCAGACGGTCGAAATTTCCAGAGCCCTACTATATGGCGTCTCTCGTAATCATATCATGGTTTCGGGACAGCGATGTGCAGCCATGGCGAAGTAGTTAGAGTATCAGCCTCGTGTGCAAGAGGTCTGTGGTTTGAATTCCAATTCCGCGCAGTTCCCAACTGGATTCTAAAGAATTATCTGCATGATGATGGAATTGCACTAAGCGGCCTAGCATGCGGCCTCACCGGGGATCACCACCGGTAACGCACCTCACCAGAGAAGGATTGTCCACCGTAGTGCAGTATCTGGCCGCTATCTCCCACATGCATACGTCAATTAACCCACGGCCCTCAGTCCTCAGCAACTGCAAAGCAGCTGACCACAGCGGCGGTGAGATCCACAATGCAGCAGAGGGTGCTAAGAATCTCTGGGTCCGGACAGGCCGGCATTGGAACCTGAACTTGGCAACGTTTAACGCTAGAACCTTGTCAAGTGAGGCAAGTCTTGCTGTACTATTCGAGAAGCTAGACGGTGTTCAATGGGATGTAATAGGGCCCAGTGAGGTTAAAAGAACAGATGACGCCTATGCAATGCTACGGAATGGGCAGGTCCTTGGTTCCTTATCTACAGAAATATAGCCGGTAACATAGAGGAACACTATAGCATTATTGAAAGTGGTAAGTATCATAATTAAACAGAATAAGAAGTATAAGATGAAGGTGGTACCGGCTTGCGTGCCTGCATCCAGCCATGATGACAAGTTAGTTGAAAGCGTCTATGAAGACGCACAATCGGCAATGAGTAAAGTAAAAACATACCTAGTATACTATACTGATGGGTGAATTTAATGCCAAGGTAGGGAAGCAGCAGGCTAGATATAGGCAGTAGGAGATTATGGCATCGGTACTAGAGATGTCAGAGGGAAGTTATTAGTAAAATTTGCAGAACACAATAATTTGCAGCTCTTGAATACCTTCTACCAAAAACGAGGGAACTGTAAGTGGATATGGAGGAGCCCTAATTTCGAAAATAAGCACGAAATAGACTTTAAACCGAGTGCACACTCGGGCATCGTGCAGGAAGGGAAAGTGCTTGGCAAAGTACAATGCAGTGACCATAGAATGGTATACTAGTCTCGTCTTCGCCTAGACTTGAAGAAGGAACAACAGAAATGAATACGCTAGAATCCAGTTAATGAGCTAGCACTGAGAAGAAAAGCACAGGAAGTTAGAGTCTCGCTTCAGAATAAATACTCGACTCTAAGAAACCAGCCCTAGTATTGACGCAATGAATAATAATCTGATGAGTATCATCACGAAGTGTGCAGTGGAAGTTTAATGCACGGTAGTCAGGACACTGTCAAGCTGTCTCAGGAGAGAAAGAGCCTCATTAAGAAATGTCAAAGCATAAAAGCTTCAAATACAACAGACAAAATAGAACTGGCAGTTGATTAATAAGCGTAAGGTATTTGATGTAAGAAAGTATAACAAGGACAGAATTGAACACGATCTAAAGAATGGAGGAAGCGTTAAAGCAGTGAAGAAAAAACTTGGGATAGGCAGAAATCAGATGTATGCACTAAGAGCCAGAGAAGGCTAAGTAACTACCAATATAGATAGAATAGATCAAAGAGCAGAAGAGTTTAACATTTGTACAGTAGCTGGGACAACCACGACCTTAATATAAGAACTAGCAGTAACCGAGATGGCACCGCAACAGTTATGATAGAAGAAGTGAGAAAAGCCATGGAGGGAATGCGAAGAGGCAATACTGCTGGTTAGGATCAGGTAATATCAGATCTGCTAAAAGACGGACGACAGATTGTGTTGGAAAAACTAGCCACTCTATTTACGAAGTGTCTCCTGACGGGAAAAGTACCATAATCTTGAAAGAATGCTAACATGATCACAATACACAAGAAGGGAGATGACAAGGACTTGAAGACAGGCCGGTCAGCTTGCTCTCCATTGTATACAAGCTATTTACTAAGGTAATTGCTAACAAAATTAAGACAACATTAGAATTATAACAGCCAAAGAAAGGCCCAAGCAGGATTTCAAACAGGCTACTCAACAACCGATCACATTCATACTGTCAATCAGGTAATATAGAAATGCTCAAAATACAGCCAACAACTATGCATAGCCTTCATAGATTACGAGAAGTCATTTGATTCAGTAGAAATATCAGCAATCATTAAGACACTGCAGAATCAGGGCGTCGACAAATCGTATATAAACGTCCTGCAAGAAATCTACAGAGGATGAACTCCCACCATAGTGTTTTATAAAAAAAAGCAACAGAATACCAGTCAAGAATTGTGTAAGACAAGGGGATACAATCTCCCCAATGCTATTTACCGCATGCTTACAGGAGGTTTTAAGAGGCCTAGAATGGGAGGAGTTAAAGATAAGAATTAATGGACAGTATCTTAGTAACCTGAGCTTCGTCAATCACATTGCATTGCTGAGTAACTCAGGGGACGAATTGCAACTCATGATTACGAAGTTAGACAAGGAGAGCAGAAACGTAGGTCTTAAAATTATTCTGCAGAAAACGAAAGTAATGTACAACAACCTCGGATGTGAACAGCGCTTCCAGATAGGTAAATAGTGCACTAGAAGTTGTAAAAGGCTATGTCTACTTAGGACAGGTAACCACAGAGCCGAACCACGAGATTGAAGTAACTAGAAGGATGAGAATGGGGTGGAGCACATTTGGCAAGCACTCTCAAATCTTGACAGGTAGATTGCCACTATCCCTCAAGAGGAAGGTATATAACAGCTGCATCTTGCCGGTACTTAGCCACACAGCAGAGACCTGGAGACTTACAAAGAGTGTTCAGCTTTAATTGAGAACGACGCAGCGAGCGATGGAAAGGAAGATGATAGGTGTAACCTTAAGAAACAAGAGAGCAGAGTGGATCACGGAACAAACTGGGGTTAAGGATATCATAATTGAAATCAAGAAGAGGAAATTGACATGGACCGGGCATGTAGCGCGTTGTTATGCCTGCGAGTCCGCAGCGAACGTCCATGCCTCTGAAAAAGGCAATCTGTGTCAAGGCCAGCACGCGAGCCCGCCTGACGCGAACAACTCAACAGCGTCATCACGTGGTGGTGCCTCTCTGCCGCGCACGCACAGTGAGTCACCTCAGCTAGCGAGCCCGTCGAGCAAGCAATCGGCGCCTTCCTGTCTGGCGGGTCTGACGCAATGCCTGGCGACGTCACTCGTCCTTGGGTGCAGCCACCTGCAGCGCAGCCTCTCCAGATTCAATGACAAAGAATGACGCGGCCCAGCGGCGACCCATTGGAGGAGTCTGACCTCACGACCAGCGGCGCTTCTGGTTGGACATTTGGTTACTCAAAGAATCCACCCGGTGCATATAAAAGAAGCCCTGCGGCACGTCGCGAGCAGCAGACATGTGTGTCCGAGAAGAGAGCTATGTGATAGAGAGTTGAGCTATGTGTTAGCAGCAGACCTATTTGAGAGCAGACATGTGTGTCAGAGAAGAGGGCTATGTGATAGAGAGTTGAGCTGTGTGTCAGAGAAGAGAGCTATGTGATAGAGAGTTGAGCTATGTTAGCAGGAGAGCTATGTGTTAGTTGAGCTATGTTAGCAGTTGAGCTATGTGTTAGTAGCAGACCTATGTGTTAGAGAGGAGAGCTCGGCTCTTCGGGTCTCTAAGCTCTCGGCCCCAGTGCCGAATTTGTAACGCCTCTGTATATATGCTGTACATAAACCGTGTTTAACTCACCGTCGTCTCGTCCGCTCGTCTATCAGCTCTGCGCAGAAGCAGTCGCGAGCTGAGAAACCTACGCTACCAAACGGCTGGTGACATTCCCGGCGGAGTTCGAAGCAGTGGCGCGTCTTGCTAGTAGACTTATAGTGGGTACGGCAAGTAAATTATTAACAGGGGCAAACAGCAAGAGGCTAGTGTGGACGATGGAAAACCTTAAAGTGAAGGAACTCATTGAAATTTGTGAGGAACTCGGCATTACTTTGGGCCGTGCGAAACGAAAACAAGCGATCCTTGAGATCATGAAGAATGAAGGAGTGTCGGCTGAGGAAGTCAATGAGGCCTGGGCGGATATCAAAGCACGCCGCGAGGAGGCTGAAAGGCGAGAAGTAGAAGCTCGTGAACGTGAAGAAGCTGAAAGGCGAGAAGTTCGCGAACGTGAAGAAGCTGAGAGGCGCGAACGTCTCGAGCGCGAGGAGGCCGAGAGACAGGAGCGCCTCGAGTTGAAACGAATAGAATTGGCAATCCTACAGTGTTCGCAGGCGCCTAGCGTAGCTTCTCCGACAATTCAGGTCAGCGGTTATAGAATTCGGGACCAACTGCCACCGTTCGTAGTAGGCGAGGACATGGCGAAGTATCTCGTCAAGTTTGAACACGTCTGTGAGCGAAATGCTTTAGAGCGGTCCCTTTGGGCGCAGAACCTGTTAGCTCTTCTTCGCGGCGAAGTGTCCGACGCGATAACTTGCTTGTCGAGGGAAGTGTTTGAGAGCTATGACGAGGTTAAGGAAGTGCTCTTGAGACGTTATAAGTGGTCACCCGAGGCTTTCAGGCAAAGGTTCCGGTATGCTAAAAAGGGGAATGAGTCACACGTTGACTTCGTGTTTCGTCTTAAAGCCGATTTAATTGAATGGTTCAAGGGCAAAGGTGTTTACGACGACCGCGATAAAGTGGTAGAATGCATTGCATGGGAGCAATTCTACCGCTGCATCGAGGAGGATGTCAAGCTTTGGCTACAGGACAAACTTGGTAAAATACAGCTAAA